TTAGGGTCTAGGGTTTAAGGTCTATAGAGTTTAATGATTAGGGTCTAGCGGTTAGCTGGACTCCTTAAAGTAGGTAAAATAATAGACCAAAACACCTAATAAATAGACTGACAGGCCGTTATTTTACATGCGTTTGGGGCTCAGGTAGTTAGAGTTTGTAAAAGGGATTACATAGGGATTACTTGGGAATATTTTTTGGAGTAAGTAGGGATCTTGTAGTTCAGATTTACAGTGGCACTATATACATAGGGTTAGTATTTCTTGTTGGCTGGTGATCTACGGGGTTTCCATACATGTGGGGCTCCAATCTCGACCTCAGTGTACCACAGTCCGCGTTAGAGAGGCTCCATCCAAGCTTAAAAGACCTGATTTTCGGACCCCCAGCCAGGTAAACAAGGAGTGTTATGTGTGACGGTAATCATAGGATACTATAGGATATTGCATGGCGTTTTGTTTGTTTTACAATTCTTCCCCGCCTAGACTTTGGATGGCTAGTGCTTGCGGCAAGCAGCATTTAGGAACTAGGTTTTGTGGTGTTGTCGTCATCTTACAATGCAACTCCAACCCCATGTACCCTTTTTACAGTCCGAATAATACCACTCCAACCCCATGTACCCATACATAGTCCTTACAATCCGTATATAAACCCAATGTGAACCTCATGGTATCCCTGTATAACGAATGGAATTTCGGTTGGTAGCTGAGCGAAGAAGGCGACCGTAAATCTGCAGTTAGAAGATGCCTGCTTGACCACACTTGGTAGTTTCCCAAAATTAGGGGTACCTTTTTGGGGGTTCCCATAATAAGGATTATAGTATTTTGGGGTCTGTATTCGTGTCCCCCTATTTAAGGAAACTACCACTTACAACAACCGGTTGGTTTGAGGGTTTGGGATTGACCTCACTTGTGAAACCAATTGGATAAATGGTTTAAGGTTGAGGGCTGACACTACTTACAAAATGAAGTGGAAAAGATCCGATTACTAGAAGCTAATCATCAACTTGGTCTCCACATAAACAACTCGTGGAACGCGAAGCCCAAAACATCCCCAATAGCATCTAGAAAAATACCAAGCTCAAAGCATGCCCTCAGGCTCCAGTGTACAATAAGGATATACTTTGGCTTCTTGTACTAGGCTATTGGGAGTATGTATATGAGTCTAAACTCCTAGTATCCCCCTTAATAAGCCCTAGAGTACTCCCCTCTACAGTCCACTATATCACACCCTTTTAAGGAGTTTAGACTCTAGCTCATCTGATAACGACAAGGGCTGCTCTCAAAATTACGGACCCCTTGCGGATATATATTATATTACAGCCCCCTAATATCTAGGGGTACCAAAATGGGACCCTAGTTTTGGAAAACCTTAAACCCTAAACCCCAAATATCCCCATACAACCCCTATAACCCCCTTTAAAGGGTACCCCATATGGGACCCTAATTTTGGGAAGTACTCATATCTACTTGGGGGTCCCCTTAAGGATCCGTTTATCGTGCCTGCCCGGAGAAGGCCGGACTCTCTGCCATCTCGCCAAACTCCTGGGTGCTAGATAGCAAATATATCAGTAGTATATTCTAGGGATAATAGAAACGAAAATTGAAACTATCACATGAAATTGGGGTATATACAGGGATTATATAAGGCATAGTCTAAACTCCTAGTATCCCCATTGGTAATAATCGTCCCCTATATAATCCCCTTTAAGGAATGTAGACTACAGCTCAGATGAAGGGTTAAGGCCTAGGTGCTTGAGTGCTTTACTACCCACGTCATAGAGCTTCAGTTTGCGGGTTTGCGCGTCTAGAGTCAGAGTTTCAGGCCTAAGGTTTAGGGGTTTATGGGTTGTGGTAGGGTTCCTTATTTATTGCGCTGGGAAGAACCCTGGAAAAGTACCACATTGAACGGCCCAAGCAGGGGTCTCTAGATTCCTAGGGGCTTGTAAAGGCTTGGAGCCTCAAAATAGGGTTAAGGGCTTGGTATCATTACAGAGTCCCAGCTCAAATATGCATGTGCAACTTTTTCAGATTTCATTTTCTTGCTTGTCTCCTCGCAACATGTTTCGAACTTGCGGTCCTCCTCCAGCCACTTTCCCAGAAACTCTGATCACCAAAGCGCGCGGAGGCTTCCAAGATTTCTCAAAGTCGTAAACAGCAACAGGACGTGAGATGCGTGGTAGGGGCTGTAGAATTCACATTTGGGGACCCAAGGTTCGCCCTTCAGCTTTTTTGAATCTTCCGTAAACATAATGTTGGCGCCGTCCCACCACACTAGCTTACGTCAAACCCCTAAGACCAAAACTTTGTGCGCTCCCTCCCACTCCAAATCTTGAAGTTAAAGATAGAGGAACTGAGGAACAGAATGCTCAGCATTTCAACAAACGGCCTCCATCATGGTACCGTCATCAAAACACGAGTATAGGCTGAAACCCACAACCCCGGTCAGCATCCTGCTTTGGGAGGTGACGGGTGGCAAATTGCTTCAGTCCATTGCTGTGGCCAGGCGGCGCTTCTTGCTACTGGGTATGGTCACGGGATGAGGGTCTAAGGAGTTTTGGGTTTGGGACGCAAGGACCATGGCTCGAGGCTTTTTCCGTATGATCCGGGGTCTTAGTGCGTTTTTGTTGGAGGTCTAAAAGGTTAGGCTTCGGGTGATGTATTCAGGAGGTTGTGCTGTTTAAGCCATGGATGCAGAGTCTGCCATGCATCGCGTCAAGGGATCCAAAGATGATCAAGGCTACCTGCAGCAACACTACACTGCCGCTAGACAAGGTATTGCGATAGCATCTGTGTCTGAACTCCAGTAGAAATGAACCTGAATTCGATACCAACAGACCCCACTTGCATGGCAACATCTGTCGTGCCTGTGTTTATTTACTGAACTCTCCCTTGCTTCAGTAGTTTGCTACTTGTTGCCTCCAGTAGGCGCTGAGAAGTGATCGAAGAACAACAACCACTCGCCTGTGTCTGTGTCTTGGACCCAAGTAACCAAAGTCTGCTTGTGGGGCTTTCTCGCTACGAGCTTTGAATTTAAATGCTTCGGAAATCAAGCTTGCTCAGGGCTAGCAACATCTGCATAGCTACTGGCAGCAAAACTGCTTGCAGAAGACCCCTAATATAGTAACTTAATTTAAGTTCCTTAAATCCCTATATTCCCTAGTTTCCATTTCATTTTCCATGTTCTTTTCCATTTGATTCTCCGTTATAGGGGGATAATATGTAACTTCTACAAGGAACTCACATCCCATGCATCCCATGCTTAGGCTCTATACCCTGGTCGGATGCTCATCTTGAACAGCCCTCGAAGCACTTTACGGTAAAGCCGTTGGGTGGGTGAGAGGCCTGCTTCTGAAGAGCCCCTCACAGCCTGTACAGGTCAAAAGTACGGCTGAGCTTAAGGTCAGGTTCGCTTGGCCTGCCTTGTTCCTCAAAAGGATGCTTCTGTGTACTTGGGTTCAATTACTTGGTCACCTCGGAGGACCGCAAAGATTTCTTTGCACGCTTCCTTAGCACGGTCTCCCAGGAATCAAAGTCTTGAGGATTTTCTCGGAAGACTTCCTTGGCATTCTTCTCCAGCCAGGCCACAAGTGTACCAGATCCATGCCCATAGCCGAAGGGCAACACGCGGAGATCCCTAGTCTGAGCTTCTGGGGGTGGACCAAAGGCTGGAGGAAACTGCGGCTGTCCTGTTGAGATGTCTTCCTGGATCTTTCCATATATCCAGCTGGACAATGAGCTGGAACCATGTCCGTACCCTCCAGCTAAGGGTACATAGTCCATGGTCATCATTCGTGGAGGAGATCCCCAAGACTTTGGGAACTCCGGAAAGGACTCCACGCCCAAAATGAGAGAGAACATCAGAAGCGAAAGCGCTGGCATGGCTGGATATGGGGATCCGTCTCTTTGGGCGAACCTTCTGCAAAGCCTCGAGGCTACCGGCTAGTCAAGCTCAACATCGCAATGAGGCAGACTTCGTAGATACGAGGAAGCACTTTTTCTTCAACTAGTGGATGCTATGTCTCAGAAGAATGTCTCTGAGGTGAAACCTTTTTTTGGAGCCGCACTAGTATTTAGATGCAGCTCGAATCGATGTCAAGTCATTAGCTTGCTGACGCAGCCACCAGCCTCACAACGAAGTGTGGAAGCGGCGGAAGCAGTCCACCGCATGAGCCATAGTCTTAACTCCTAGTATCCCCCCTAATAGCCCTAGGAGTTCAGGGCCTAGGGTTTGGGGTCTAAACTCCTACTATCCCCCTTAATAGCCCCTACAATACTCCCCTATAGGATCCCCTCCAAGCAGTTTAGACTATAGCTCACATAAACTTCTCAAGAACAAGCAAATTACTGACTCGTGTGACCAGAAGAAAAATACTGGCAGCAGTAGCATTAAAACCCTCTGCTTGGCATTCTGTGCCAGAACATCCAGCATCGAGCATCGAAACCCCAATGTACTATAGAAGTTTCCAATTTCTTTTCCATTATCCCAAAACATGACCCCGATGTACCATAGTCGTTTCCATGTTCTTTTCCATTAGCCCAATGTAACCCTAATATACTATAGTACTATAGTAGCTTCCATTATCCCAATGTAACCGCAATATACTATACTAGTTTCCGAACCCCACTGTCATGTATAGGCTCCGCACGCGTCCATAAAAGCTGCATCCACGAACTCCTCCTGAACCTTGCCCGACCTGGGTTTAGGATTTGGGGTTTAGGGCTTAACGTTTAGGGTTTAGGGTTTAGGGCTTAAGGTTTAGGGTTTAGGGTTTAGGGAAAAATTACGAATGCCTCGATACTCGCCCCCTCCAAAACCTGACGCGTCACCACCAGAGCCTCACGCACTACGTCTGTCGAGTTTGGTAGTTTCTTTAAAGGGACCCCAATATAAGGCCCAATATACTATAACCCTCTTATTGGGACCCCCATAATGGTACCCCTAATTTGGGGAAATCCCCATTTATCCTAACTACCAGAAGTTCATCCCAATAGAAGCTAGCAAGGCAGACCTGCACACTCTTGAAGCTCACCTCCCCCCATAACCCAAAGAGCAACCAGGAAGAGCAGAAGGGCCCCAGCGGCTCCACCCATGGTGGCAGATCATCCACCTGGCTATACTCGAAGAGGTGAGGTTTTGTTCTGGATTTCAGGCGGGGAGAAAAACCTGGGAAAGGCAGTCCACATGAAGGAGACTGCCAAATTCGTTGAAGTGATAGAAACTGGTAAATTTCTACCCTAGACGGCTCTTCCACGCTGTGCAGCTAGGATGCTGCGCGTGTGATGATGGAGGTTCATGGTTTTTTGTTTCCGCAGACGGGTGATAAATACCTGGCCCAAATGGCCAATCTGCGGGGACTATGATTTGGCAAGCCAATGTCGTTCACGGCCGAACGTCAAGTAGACCCCGCCAGAAGTGACCTGCATCCTTTACCTGATGGAACGAATCAATCCTACATCACCCTACTTACTAACTACTCTAGGACCTGGGAGTTTTGGCATGGTAGTTCTTGGCCTTTACCCCAACATACTACAGTAGTTTCCATTTTCTTTTCCAGTATCTCTAAACACTACAAGAAAAATGACAATAAACATACGAATAACAACAATGACACTAATAACTCTATGGGGTTCTATTTCTGGGCAGGATATGAACTGCAGCCTGGGCGTCTGAGCGGTCGGCCGCGAGAAAGGGGGCTCTTAGCATCTCTCCAGCTGGATGAGCAGCAATTAGAATATACAAAGCACACATGCGAGCCATGTAAGACAGCGTAAGCACAAAGGGTTCACACTGGGGCACATGTCCCTCTCTCTCAATCTCTCTGTCTCTCTGCCTCTCTATTTCTGCGATTCGGGCGTATCTCTATCTCTCTCTCAGTCTCAGTCTCTTCCAGTACTTGGGGCCTTGGGGCTTGTGCCCAGGAATCTGACTATGGATGTGGCCTGCAAGGCCTCGGCGTATTGGTGTCTCAGCTTCTAGCCTAGGACTACCCAGTCCTCGAGAACAGGTGCTTGCTCACCGTTTTTGAAGGCGAGATATTTCAACTCTAGGATGTCCCACATGGGGTTTCCCAAAATTAGGGGTACCCTTTTTGGGGTCCCTATAATAAGGACTATAATATTCTTGGGGTCTATATTGGGGCCCCTCTATTTTGGGAAACTACCACATAGGTGCAACCTAACATTCCTGGCCCCTCAAACCAGAAAGCTACATGCCACAAGTTGATATAGGTAAACCCTAAACCCCACATGGCAGTTTCCATTTTCGTTTCCATTATCCCTATCTAACCCTTTTATAACCCCAAAAGGGTACCCATTATCACTATGTATCTTGCCATCTCTAACCTTCGGGAAGCCGCACGCACAACTTTCACTGCAAAGAGGTCCTCAAAATTGGGTTGTTCCGAAAATTGTATACTGGGTTACATAGGGACTACTATACATGGGCCATATGGCGACTACTGTAACGGATAGTGGAAGAGAAAATGGAAGCTACTAGTTGGGTTGTTCTCATGATGATGGGTCCCTTTTGGTTATGGATTATATTATGGCACCTCATATTTAGGGCCCTAATTTTGGGTACCCTACAAATACATGCGGCTGCAGAAAGCCTCCATTTGTGGCTTGAGGTCTGAACCAGCATCCTGCAATGTGCTTGGAGATGTGAAGGTGGCTACACTGGCTACACCATAGACGAACACCCTCCGCCTACACTCTATGTACAGGCTCTAAGGCTTTGAGGCCTGCGTGAATCTTGGTAATCTGGATTTTTGATTACAAGTCAATATCCACTGGAGTCATGTTGTGAAGCTGCAGCCATACATGGTAGTTTCCCAAAACAGGGGAACCCCAATATAGACCCCCAAATACCACAATCCTTATTATTAGGACCCCCAAAAGGTACCCCCAATCTTGGGAACCCCCCCACATGCACTTGTACCCAAAGTGAGAAAGTCACTAGTCAACACTTAATTGAATCAATGAGAGCAGCTGGCTATGTTAAACAAGCCATGGTTCCCTCCCCTTGGGGTTTAGGGCTTAGGGGATTAAGGTTTAGGGGTTTAGGGGTTTAGGGTTTAGGGGTTTAGGGTTTAGGGGTTTTGGGGTTCAGGGTTTTAGGCTTTAGGGATGATTGCATTAGCTATGATCTGGGCTACTGTCCAGGAATATATAAAACTGGCCACTGAGTTACAATAATATGGGCATACTGCGAAAACTACGGTTATCCCATGATGGTAATGTAAGTTGAGTTCCTTGAATCCATACTAAAACATATTAAGCCACTTTCTGTTTCAGTTTTCATGTTCTTGTCCAATTGATGCTCCGTTGTGGTGACCTTTATAAAGCAATCAATGCAATCAATACACAGGACATCAACCCTAAATCCAGTAAGGGGAAGTGCACTACTCGCACCCCACAGGGCAGGTTTGGTGAATCAAGCTTTTTGGTTACAAGCCACACTGAAAGAAGCAATACGTGGTTTACTAGGGTTCATGAATAGCTTTTAAATGGTTGAGCGAAGTGGGATTATGTGCTTCGCGCTTCTTATATTGTATACTCTGTATACCCGAGGGGAGACTATGATCTTACTCTGTCCTAGGCACTTTTGCATCCCCAAGAAAAATCCTACTTGCATGGTTCCAGGATGGGACGCCTTCGAAAGGAACAAAGAGGCACCCTGGAACGCGTAGTATGTACAGCATCATTGGGCCAATGGTGTTTACTTAAGGTATGACGGATAGAAGTCTTGGTCATTAGTGTTTGTTCAAGGTCCCCAAATTGAACACCAAATATACGTAACTATACACACTCACTAATATTCTAAAGCAAGCCTACATACACTCACCAAAGACCACAACGAAAAGCCTACTTCATTTCCCCAAGAAGTCCAAGAAAGTCACCCGACATGGTTGGACCCTTTCCCATACTACCTTCGCCAGAAAACGTTGATGGACTGGAATTCCATCCATCGCCACTGCCCAAAACACCCGCCACTTGAGCCTAATCCCCCCTTCCCCTGAAAATTACTTCCCTAACTTCCCCAAGGCCCCAGAAACCCCTCAACCCTAAACCCTTAAACCGTCTCTGAAAATCCATGGTGCCTTGAAAGTGAAGGGTGCTGTAGGCTGAGAAGCATCTGGAGGCTTGGCCTCAGACCATCATATATTGTAGTATATTGGGGCTATTTGGGGGCTATATAGGGATAATAGAAAAGAAAATAGAAACAGTATAGTATACGATAGCATACAGTGTAGTGTAGTATATAGTAGAGTTTATTCTGTATTATAGTATAGTACAAGGAATTATGAGGGGAGTTTGGGGTACCCCAACTAAGGACTTCAGAGGGATGATGTTGAGAGGCTCCTAAACCCTCACATCTCTTCTGCCAGGTAGCACTGCTGGACTACTAAAATCGGTACTATGCTGGCCCCGCACTTTTGAATAAAAGCATAAGAAAGTACAGTGATGGGGCTCCGGAATGGGGCTAGAATACTATGCTGTCCAGTTTACCCCCCCCCTTCCAATATCAGATCAAGCAAAATACCTTTCTCCGAATTTGTAGCAGGCAATTAGGACAGTAGTCCGCTGTGGCAGTGAAGTTTTTGCTTCTACTCTACCAAAACCCCATTATACTGAGATGGGTATTCCCTGGCGCTTCTGAAAGGTGCCATGATGTTGAGATTCAACAATGAAGCCTTCTTTAGGGGATCCGCAAAACAGGGCGCCGTGATTCTGGAGGAAAGAAAGCACATCTCAGAGCAGTGCGAAAACGGACAGGAAGCCCGCCCAAAGAGCAGACGGAGGCGGCCTCAGAAGCAGTGGCCAGACCGTCTTGTTCTTGCAATCCGTCCCATCCTCTGTATCCTCAACAGATCAACCAC